GCCTACTAGTTAGGCGACACCTATAACCCTAAGTCCTGTAAAGTGTTTTCTCACTTTATCTCTACATTTATAGATTCCACTTTCTAACTGGAGGATTTTCAGGCAGCTGCCACTTTACGAGTTAAGTCTGCTCAAGATAGGTGATGCGACATTTTGATTAACTGGATGCCCAGGGAACCCCAGCCCTAACAGAAACCCACACAAGGGACAACTATGATAGTGAAATATAAATTCTGGAGTACAATCTTTTCAGATGTGACAGGAAGCCCAGGCTAGAGGGTGGAGTCAACCTGTACATTAAAGAGGCTCATCTGTACTGAGCTGCTAAACACCACAAATGATATAGTGAAAGTGCTAATAATCAAATTAGGATCCTAAACGTGGATATGTATATAAGTCTTTGGTTTGTATATAAGTCACTGGAAGCAAATCCTCAGCAGATTAAAAACTAACAAAAAGAGAAGACTGCTTAGAAACCTCACAAATCCAGTCCCAAACTTAATCTTGCTTGGGGACTCCAATCTAAAATGGAAGAACGTAGCAAAGAGAGAATCCCAGCAAGTAGTCTAAATGAAGTTACACACAAATGATCTACTATGGAAGTGAGACAGATTTGTCTTAAACCAGCAAATTGTAGAAATTAGAAAAGAAAACATGCTAGATCTTATTTTCACAAATACAGTACTGTACTGTAAGGATGATTTTTTTTTTTTTTTTTTTTTTTTTTTTGCAGGGATATTCCTGCGCGGGCCCTAAGCCTCTGGCTGGCCCACTAAGTGTTGCTTGTTTCTGTTTTACTTGGGCGGAGTATGAGTATTTATGACTCGTATGGTCGCTTTAGTAAGATTTTGCCATACGTGTTTAACAACTTCTGCTCTGTTGAATCTAAGTTGAAATCTTAATGGGTTTGTAACTGTGCACTGTGTTAGATAATGTTCCAGTGGTCTGTCGGGCATTTCTCCACAGTGTTGACATTTCCTCTCATCTTCCAGAACCTGTTAGCCTATTTCCCATGCACATGGGTATCCAAGCCTGATGCGATGTAAATGCACTTCTGTTGCTCTACTGTTCCCTTTCATCAAACTAAGTGGTTCGTAGTTGGTTGAATGCTTGTACCAACCCGCAGATCCTGATGTTGCAATTGATGTGTTGTGGTCACTGTACATCTTTTGCATTGCTCTGTTTCTAATTACTTTCTTAATCTGTGATAGACTCTGTGGTATGTAAATGTCTACATTTCTCCTCTTAGTAGCAAGTTTTGCAGCTTCGTCTGCAATGTCATTTCCTATTATTCCCACATGACTTGGCACCCAGTTGATAAGTACCCGTCGGCCTTGTCGTTTGAGTGTTTGCATGAATGATATGACATTTGTGATCAGATGGATGTTATCATATATGTGTTCTTGTTGCAAGGTTTCAATGGCGGTTCTCGAATCTGTATGTATGATAACATGTTGTCGGTGTTCAGCAAGAGCATGTTCCAAAGCCTTTTGAATGGCTAGCATCTCTGTTTGTAAAGTCGAACACCCATTTGAGAGCCTCCAACTATTTACAGAGTTTCCTGCTTTAACTGCAGCTCTGGTTTCTTGTCCCTGCTGGTCAAGGATGAATTGATCAGGACCATAATGATTTCAAATACCTGTTACTCAGATCACAACTTAAAGTTCAGACAAGCATGGGCAGTAGACCTGTGCAGCCAGTCCCAAATTCTAGGAGAATTCTGCAAATAAAATTGTAATAAACAGATTAACTGGGAGCAAGTAAACCAAGACCATGCAGAAATCAACTGAGAACAGCTAGGAAGTGCAAACCTGAACCAGTGCATGGAAAAAATAAGCTCAGTAGCACTAGCAACATGTTCAAACCGCATACCCCTATGAAAAGAGGAAGAGATGCAGATTGGAATGGCATTCCCTCTATAGGCGAAGAAAATGAATCTCAGAACAACTCTAAAGTCTCACCCTAACTCAAGAACGACAAGGAAGGCTAGGTAGAGAGCTTGAAAACATTGCACTAAAGCTACAAGAATCATAACATTCAGGAGAAGAAATGAGAGCATCAGCAAAATAGAGAAAAATCCAAAATATTTTTTCTCATTTGCAAAATCTAGAAAAAAAAATGACTACATCTAGTATTGGGCCCCTGTGAAAGAGCAAGCTTTCACAGATGACAACAAAGAAATGAGCAAAATACCAAGGCAACAGTATGACCATTTTCAGTGAGCCACTAAACACAATGAAGATTGATAACTCAAACAAATTCTTCATGAACGTAATGCCAACATCAAACCATAAACATGATGTCACCCTAATCTCTCAGGATTTTGAAGTAGCCATACTGCTTGGTGGACAGCGCTTCGGATTCGTAGTCCTGAGGTTCCGGGTTCCATCCCAGGTGGAGGCGGAGACAAATGGGCAAAATGTTTCTTTCACTCTGATGCCCCTGTTACCTAGCAGTAAATAGGTACCTGGGAGTTAGACAGCTGCTACGGGCTGCTTCCTAGGGGTCGGGGGGGATGTAACAACAAAGAAGCCTGGTCGAGGACCGGGCCACGGGGGATGCTAAGCCCTGAAATCATCTCAAGATAACCTCAAGATGTATATAGTATGCCTATACACTTCACACCAGGCCCTGATTATTGGAACAATACATTCATCAAGAAGTGTAAAAAACCAGTATTGAATGTAATGAAACGCCATTTTCTGGGTAAGCCCCCAGAGGCTCCCTGAAGCTATTCGAACTACTTGATACGTGCTTGATGGGGATCTGGGAGTTGCTCTACTCCCTAAGCCTGGCTTGACTTCTGAGAGCTTGGTCCAACAGGCTGTTGCTTGGAGTGGCCCGAAGGCCCAAATATCCAAAACAGCCCGGTTGGTTTGGTACTTTTTGAAGAAAATCTAGTTTTCTCTTGAAGATGTCCATGGTTGTTCAGGCAATATTTCTTATACGTGCTGGGACTAATATGGGACTTGCTATGAACTGAGATGTGCTATATTAGTTTGGGTCATCAGTCACAGGAGTCCTTTTGCCTACCGAGGACCATGAGCCAGAACCTGGCTCCCTCAAAGAGGCACAGGGAGCAATGGCCTATGATCACTTTACATTTAAAGTATGTCGTAATTTCCATCGACTGGAAAAAGATCCAGAAAGGTAGACAAATCAAAACAGACAACTGTCTGGTTAACCTGTGCAATCTACATTCTAAAAGCTACAAATAACTCCCCCATGGAAAGAAATCAAACGAGCAACCTTACATGCAACTAGAATTCCTGCTCGTTAGTGCTACCTACGAGCGGGAGAGATTTATGAAATAGAGGGGGTATACAGAGAACATATATACTGCACCCATACACATAATAAAGCAACTAAATTATTGTGACCATCTCAAAACTCTCAAAATGTATGCTTTTGTAAGGAGACAAGAGGGTTATTAAATAATATATACATGGAAGATACTGGAAGGCCAGACCCCAAATTTGCACAGTAGAATATCAGCATACTGGAGTGAGAGATATGGCATGAAATGCAGAATAGAACCAATGAGGAGCCAAGGTGCCATAGGCATAATAAGAGAGCACTCCACAACATTTCCAGGTAACATCAGAACTCCACGGCTGTTCAGTACTCTCCCAGCAAGCATTAGAAATATTGCTGGGCCAAAGGTGGACTTCAGAAAGTGATTAGTGCATGAAGTTGCAGACCAACCAGGTTGTAGTGGATATGTGGGCTCCTCCAAGCAACAGCCTGTTGGATCAAGTTATCAAGTCGAGTCTGACCCAAGGCCAGGCTTGGGCAGTCGAACAACAACTGGAGCCCTTCCCAGGTATACTCTATACAGGTTGAGCTGCAGCGTACCTCAACTGCCAATAATAATCACTGCAGCACACCCCAGTGTCACTACATTTCAAACTTAAGATTCCTACTACCCATTAGGGGTAGTAGCATAACCTCTCCTAATATTCATGTTCTCACAACACTCCACACAGGTGCTGCAAGAAGACTTTAACAAACTTTAGGAGTGGGCAGATAAATGGCTACCAGAGTTCAATCAATGTAAGTGTAGTGAAAATGGGTAAGGTAGAGAGACCTGTACTTAACTAACATACCAGAAGGCAGTTACAAGAAACAATAAAGATAAAGACCTGGTAGCAGACATAATCCCAACCCTAACAGAACCTCATGTGAACAGGATAACATCAGCAGCATGTGAGAAGTTAGCAAACATAAGAACATCATTTAAGAATGTAAACAAGGAGGCTTTCAAGTCCATACACTGCCTATGTATGATCATTACTTAAGTATGCAGCTCCAGCATGGAACCCACACCTTGTGAAGCATAAACAGAAATTTGAGAAAGTTCAGAGGTTTTCAACTAGATTAGTGCCAGAGTTGAGAGGCCTCAACTATGAGGACAGGTTGAGAGAACTCGCGATTACACCCTTAGAGGAGAGACAAAATGGGGGGATATGGTAACTACATACAAGATCATGATGGGGGGAATAAAGTGGATAAATGATGCCTGTATAAATTAGATAGGGGTAAGATGAGGGAATGTAATTGGAAGCTGGACAGGCAATCGAGTTGAAGAAGAGATGTAAGGAAGTTCTTGTTCCATGTATGGGTGGTATGAAAGTGGAATGCACTGAAGAGGTTGTCAATGCCAATTTCATACACAACTTTAAAACGTACAGTAAAATGATTAAAATGTTAATGTTGAGAGTGGTTATAGTGCACCAGGTATAAGGAGCTAGAAGATGGGGCATAAAGAGCTAGATCTGGCTGTTCCTTGGTCACCGAGTGCCAAGAACTCGTCAGTCTCTCCTCCATACTAACCGTGATGGGCTTGCAGGTTTAGGCATTAGCTCCTGGCTTTCTGCCTTCCAAACACTGTAGATAAATGCAATGAATCTTCCCTCACTTTTCTTACCTATATATTAACATTTAGTTTTTATTGCAACACTGAGGCAGTTCTGTCCTCTTGTACAGTATAAAGAAATGCATTTCAATATCTTAGATAGTTTAATCATATATAGTACATGTGTTTGTATATATACAGAGTGTATTAATTTGAATACAGTAAGAAATGAAAGACACAAGAAGAATTCAATTTGAGTATCAACACGGCTAACAATGTAAAAGAAGTTAGTGAACAATGTCACAAACACTTAGGATTTCATTTAGTCATACAAATTTAGGCCTTAGGTCATACATTTTGAATTTGAGTCTTTTCCGTGATAATCTACGGTGAGCTTCGAATACAACGCCTTCAAAACTTTTAGGGTCATGCCTTTTTATTTCTAATAAAATGATGGGTCTGGTACTATATTACAGTCAATAGCAATTTAGTTGGATATTTTAAAGAGGCATTAGAACAAAACTTCTGTCAATTAAAATATTTCTACATTGTGGGCAAAATTAATATTGGTATATAGTGACACTAAACACTTTTAAATCCTCAAATAACTCCATGCAAGACAAGAATATAGTACTGCTAAATAACCGAACTGTTCAATATGACTACATACAAGTACAGTATATAGTACAGTACTGCCGAACATCTGAGCCGTTCAATATGACTGCGTACAAGTATGTAGTACTGCTAAACATCTGAACGGTTCAGTATAACTGTGTACATCCCAGACCAGGAGGAAGAAAATAAAACCAAGGCACATGTACTTTAGAAGCTAGGCTTTGAGGTGTATGACCTCATACTGGATGTTATGAATGTATCTTGAGAATAGTTTTGGTACCTAATGAGTTTATATTAAACAAGTATAATATTAAATACCCAGCAATCCTTTATAAAGCAATATTAAAAAATTATAATAAAAATATACATTGAATCAAGATCTGTCATAACTTGTTACAAAAAAGAATTTAACAAGTCAACCTATCATTTTGGTTGAATATTATGTATATTTGAGACCAATAAAATATGCAGTATTTGAAGCTTGAGGAAATGTTACATAAGCATGCATACACTTGTAAATATCCTTTAACCGCACTAAAAGTACCAATATTCTGGACACGCGTACCAGATGTTTAATCCGAGCTATCCTCTCTTCTCATCCGAGCTCAGCTGCTGCATAATCTAAAATAAAAATATACAACTTTGTTAATACTTAACCAATGTGATGATCAGGTACCTGAAATAATTGGGAAACTCTCAAACAAAGAACAGCAAATTCCCACCAGAATAACACAAACACAAAGCTTCTGAAGATATACAAGAAAATTCACTTTTGCAAAGAGTGGTAGACGGTTGGAACAAGTTGGGAGAGGTGGTGGTGGAGGCCAAAACCATCAGTAATTTCAAAGCGTTATATGAGAGTGCTGGGAAGACGGGACACCACGAGCGTAGCTCTCATCCTGTAACTACACTTAGGTAATTACACACATGCCACAGTCACAACGTAATAAGAGGGTGAGTAATCAACCAGGTAACCAGATAATAGAAAAACTCTAATAGAGTACAGTTACATTTGTACTGCACTACACTGTAACCACTGTAGAGTGGCTACAGTGTGTCCTGGGAGCTCATGTGGGGTGGCTAGTGTGTCCTGGGAGCTGGCGTGGGGTTGTGGCTACAGTGTGTCCTGGGAGCTCATGTGGGGTGGGTACAGTGTGTCCTGGGAGCTGGTGTGGGGTTGTGGCCACAGTGTGTCCTGGGAGCTGGTGTGGGGTTGTGGCTACAGTGTGTCCTGGGAGCTCATGTGGGGTGGGTACAGTGTGTCCTGGGAGCTAGTGTGGGGTTGTGGCTACAGTGTGTCCTGGGAGCTCATGTGGGGTGGGTACAGTGTGTCCTGGGAGCTGGTGTGGGGTTGTGGCCACAGTGTGTCCTGGGAGCTCATGTGGGGTAGCTACAGTGTGTCCTGGGAGCTGGTGTGGGGTTGTGGCTACAGTGTGTCCTGGGAGCTGGTGTGGGGTTGTGGCTACAGTGTGTCCTGGGAGCTGGTGTGGGGTTGTGGCCACAGTGTGTCCTGGGAGCTGGCGTGGGGTTGTGGCTACAGTGTGTCCTGGGAGCTGGTGTGGGGTTGTGGCCACAGTGTGTCCTGGGAGCTGGTGTGGGGTTGTGGCTACAGTGTGTCCTGGGAGCTGGTGTGGGGTTGTGGCCACAGTGTGTCCTGGGAGCTGGCATGGGGTTGTGGCTACAGTGTGTCCTGGGAGCTGGTGTGGGGTTGTGGCTACAGTGTGTCCTGGGAGCTCATGTGGGGTGGGTACAGTGTGTCCTGGGAGCTGGTGTGGGGTTGTGGCCACAGTGTGTCCTGGGAGCTCATGTGGGATGGCTAGTGTGTCCTGGGAGCTGGCGTGGGGTTGTGGCCACAGTGTGTCCTGGGAGCTGGTGTGGGGTTGTGGCTACAGTGTGTCCTGGGAGCTCATGTGGGGTGGGTACAGTGTGTCCTGGGAGCTGGTGTGGGGTTGTGGCCACAGTGTGTCCTGGGAGCTGGTGTGGGGTTGTGGCTACAGTGTGTCCTGGGAGCTCATGTGGGGTGGGTACAGTGTGTCCTGGGAGCTAGTGTGGGGTTGTGGCTACAGTGTGTCCTGGGAGCTCATGTGGGGTGGGTACAGTGTGTCCTGGGAGCTGGTGTGGGGTTGTGGCCACAGTGTGTCCTGGGAGCTCATGTGGGGTAGCTACAGTGTGTCCTGGGAGCTGGTGTGGGGTTGTGGCTACAGTGTGTCCTGGGAGCTGGTGTGGGGTTGTGGCTACAGTGTGTCCTGGGAGCTGGTGTGGGGTTGTGGCCACAGTGTGTCCTGGGAGCTGGCGTGGGGTTGTGGCTACAGTGTGTCCTGGGAGCTGGTGTGGGGTTGTGGCCACAGTGTGTCCTGGGAGCTGGTGTGGGGTTGTGGCTACAGTGTGTCCTGGGAGCTGGTGTGGGGTTGTGGCCACAGTGTGTCCTGGGAGCTGGCGTGGGGTTGTGGCTACAGTGTGTCCTGGGAGCTGGTGTGGGGTTGTGGCCACAGTGTGTCCTGGGAGCTGGTGTGGGGTTGTGGCTACAGTGTGTCCTGGGAGCTCATGTGGGGTGGGTACAGTGTGTCCTGGGAGCTGGTGTGGGGTTGTGGCTACAGTGTGTCCTGGGAGCTGGTGTGGGGTTGTGGCTACAGTGTGTCCTGGGAGATGGTGTGGGGTTGTGGCTACAGTGTGTCCTGGGAGTTGGTGTAACACTGTAAAAGTGTTTGGTTTAGGTTAATACATACATAGAGTACATGAGTCACAGACAGGGATTTGGAAAGGCGCCAAGTTGTCGGCGGAGATCTCACACCTCTAACCGTTAATGACCCCAAGTGACCTGAGGTCAGATCATGAGAATTTCACCTTGCTTCCGCTAAGCGTATAATTGGAGCCGGGTAGCCTTCAAACATGCCGACGTTTAAGGAGTGGCTTGGTAGTGCCGGAGGCTATCTACTTGTGGGCGGAGTTAGCTACTAGGTTCCCCAATATAAACTCGGAGAGCTATCGAGCAGAAAAGCAATAGGAGACCGGCCAGCGGAGCAGAGCAGAGGCCAGCCGTCGAGATAGGCCGTCACCAGACGGGGGGTGACGCTGCCTGAAAATTGCAGACCCCCCCCCCCCTCTCTATTCAACTTAGACTCAGTCCTCGGTGAGTGAACATTTAGGTGACTTGGTCGTGTTTACATATGTTGTGTGATGATCAGGGGCAGTCAAGTTGTAGGGTTCTCGAATTCTTGGATGATGACTCACTTTGCATATTAAACTGGAACATTTTAATTGATATGCTAAATTATGATACTTCATGTGAAATATAATTATGAATTTATTATTTAAATTGTGTTTAACTTTGTTCCCTAGAGATTTTGAGTTGAGGTGAGAAAGCCTCTGTGGTTACTGGTTTCATGGTTTAGAATGAGTACATGATAAAGATGGGAACATACTAATAATGAACTCATGATAACATCCTTTGAGAATTTTGTGATACAGGCAAGTTCCATTCCTTGTCTTGTATGTAATGATCATGAATGGATGGTGGCAGCATTTCGTCTTCTACTATCTACTCTTCTACTTCTACTATCTACTCTTCTACATCTACCTATCTACACCTCTCCCTCCACCCCTCTCTGAACTCTCACTTTCAACTAATGACCCTCCTCGCCCCTCCCACCTCTCTCCTCTCTCACCCCAAACCCTCACTAATTACTTCACTATTCATTTCTTTCCTTTCGTTTTCTCGTATACGTTTGTGGCAATGATTATGTATTCTAGAGTTCTCTCTAGAGTTTCGGGTAACTGATCAAGTGACGGCGCCTTGTAGTCTTAGCACCTAGGTAGTCAAATACCTAGGTTACAAGGTGTTGAACGAGAGAGGCTGCCTTAGGAACTCTGGAGGTGCTCTAGAATAGTTAGCTAACTGGGGACGGGATAACGGACTAGAGAGAGCTGTTTCCCCCGGCCTCGTTAGTTAACTGGGGGGTGGAATAATGGACAAGATAGAGCTATTTCCCCCACCCCCCGTTACATTGGCATGATGTTGTGGCTACAGTGTGTCCTGGGAGCTGGCATGATGTTGTGGCTACAGTGTGTCCTGGGAGCTGGCGTGGGGTTGTGGCTACAGTGTGTCCTGGGAGCTGGTGTGGGGTTGTGGCTACAGTGTGTCCTGGGAGCTGGCGTGAGGTTGTGGCTACAGTGTGTCCTGGGAGCTGGTGTGGGGTTGTGGCTACAGTGTGTCCTGGGAGCTGGCGTGGGGTTGTGGCTACAGTGTGTCCTGGGAGCTGGTGTGAGGTTGTGGCTACAGTGTGTCCTGGGAGCTGGCGTGGGGTTGTGGCTACAGTGTGTCCTGGGAGCTGGCATGATGTTGTGGCTACAGTGTGTCCTGGGAGCTGGCGTGGGGTTGTGGCTACAGTGTGTCCTGGGAGCTGGTGTGGGGTTGTGGCTACAGTGTGTCCTGGGAGCTGGCGTGGGGTTGTGGCTACAGTGTGTCCTGGGAGCTGGCGTGGGGTTGTGGCTACAGTGTGTCCTGGGAGCTGGTGTGGGGTTGTGGCCACAGTGTGTCTTGGGAGCTGGTGTGGGGTTGTGGTTACAGTGTGTCCTGGGAGCTGGCATGATGTGGCCACAGTGTGTCCTGGGAGCTGGCGTGGGGTTGTGGCTACAGTGTGTCCTGGGAGCTGGCGTGGGGTTGTGGCTACAGTGTGTCCTGGGAGCTGGCATGGGATTGTGGCTACAGTGTGTCCTGGGAGCTGGTGTGGGGTTGTGGCTACAGTGTGTCCTGGGAGCTGGTGTGGGGTTGTGGCTATAGTGTGTCCTGGGAGCTGGCGTGGGGTTGTGGCTACAGTGTGTCCTGGGAGCTGGTGTGGGGTTGTGGCTACAGTGTGTCCTGGGAGCTGGTGTGGGGTTGTGGCTACAGTGTGTCCTGGGAGCTGGCGTGATGTTGTGGCTACAGTGTGTCCTGGGAGCTGGCGTGATGTTGTGGCTACAGTGTGTCCTGGGAGCTGGCGTGAGGTTGTGGCTACAGTATGTCCTGGGAGCTGGCGTGGGGTTGTGGCTACAGTGTGTCCTGGGAGCTGGTGTGAGGTTGTGGCTACAGTGTGTCCTGGGAGCTGGTGTGGGGTTGTGGCTACAGTGTGTCCTGGGAGCTGGCATGGGGTTGTGGCTACAGTGTGTCCTGGGAGCTGGCGTGATGTTGTGGCTACAGTGTGTCCTGGGAGCTGGCGTGAGGTTGTGGCTACAGTATGTCCTGGGAGCTGGCGTGGGGTTGTGGCTACAGTGTGTCCTGGGAGCTGGTGTGAGGTTGTGGCTACAGTGTGTCCTGGGAGCTGGTGTGGGGTTGTGGCTACAGTGTGTCCTGGGAGCTGGCATGGGGTTGTGGCTACAGTGTGTCCTGGGAGCTGGCGTGGGGTTGTGGCTACAGTATGTCCTGGGAGCTGGCGTGGGGTTGTGGCTACAGTGTCCTGGGAGCTGGCGTGGGGTTGTGGCTACAGTGTGTCCTGGGAGCTGGCGTGGGGTTGTGGCTACAGTGTGTCTGGGAGCTGGCGTGAGGTTGTGGCTACAGTGTGTCCTGGGAGCTGGCGTGGGGTTGTGGCTACAGTGTGTCCTGGGAGCTGGCGTGGGGTTGTGGCTACAGTATGTCCTGGGAGCTGGCGTGGGGTTGTGGCTACAGTGTGTCCTGGGAGCTGGCGTGGGGTTGTGGCTACAGTGTGTCCTGGGAGCTGGCGTGGGGTTGTGGCTACAGTGTGTCCTGGGAGCTGGCGTGGGGTTGTGGCTACAGTGTGTCTGGGAGCTGGCGTGAGGTTGTGGCTACAGTGTGTCCTGGGAGCTGGCGTGGGGTTGTGGCTACAGTGTGTCCTGGGAGCTGGCGTGAGGTTGTGGCTACAGTGTGTCCTGGGAGCTGGTGTGGGGTTGTGGCTACAGTGTGTCCTGGGAGCTGGCGTGGGGTTGTGGCTACAGTGTGTCCTGGGAGCTGGCGTGAGGTTGTGGCTACAGTGTGTCCTGGGAGCTGGTGTGGGGTTGTGGCTACAGTGTGTCCTGGGAGCTGGTGTGGGGTTGTGGCTACAGTGTGTCCTGGGAGCTGGCATTAGGTTGTGGCTACAGTGTGTCCTGGGAGCTGGTGGTGTCACTCGGAGCCAATGTTGAATCAGTCGCAGTAGGGTTGTAGAAACAACTGTATGTACCAGCTAAGGTTTAGTAGTATTGTTTATTTGCTTGGGGCTATGTTGTTTGCAATGAGTCTGGTATTCATGTGATGTTTGTGTGTCAGTGGTCATAATCCCATAATCAGTTAATTGATCATGTCTGTACTTTTAATTTTTATTTGTGCCTTCCACAGAGTAAACTGGTGTTTCATTCATTTTAAATGGTGGTTTTAATTAATGAATCCTGTAGTTAGCAGTTGTGGGAACGAGTCAATAAGGAGAGGAGCTGCTGCTTTCAGGAACATCAGCTTTACCAAGTGCAAGTGGTAACATGTACATTGATGTAGTAGTTTTAAATAGCTGTTTAGGGTTAACTCCTTTTATCATTACTATGTACAGTATTACTTTGTCATTAATTACTACATTTATTTTCTTCATAACTCCTTAACCACTGTACGGCGAAGAGCACCCTAAGGTGCTCTAAGACTTGTGTTTTTTAATTAGGCTATATTTTAATGTTTTTTAATGTTTTAATCACTGCTTTGAAATGAAAATAGTCAAGTGTGGAAACATTATGACATTACCTAAACATTTATAAAAGCAACAAAAATAAGTCATGACAATTACCGTACACAATGAAGTTTTTACCAAAACCAAGTGTGCAGTGCACTGGTCAAAAGTTACCTGGGCTCCCCCATTATTCCTGTCATAAACAAAGTACGTAAAATACTCCAATACTTACGGAAGAAATCTTATTTAATCTATTTGGGGTAAGCTGTGCCAACTGACTGATCATCTTGTCCTTCACCAGGTCAGTTGTTGGGGAACTGTCTTTGTTTTGAGCGCCCGCAGTGAGGTACGGGTGCTGCAGCAGCTCCTGGATGCTGGGGCGGTTCCCAGGGTAGAACTGCAGACACTGTTTTAGTACATCCAGTACCTGTTTGTCTTCAATGTCTGGGAATGAAATCTTGTGGTTGGGATTGGATATGGCTGCGAGTTTTTGGAAGGGGCTGACAAGGTGTTGGAACGGCGTACGTCCATACACCAGGTTGTAAAGAATACACCCTAGTGACCACACATCTGACTTCACACCAATCTACACAAAAATAAGAGGAAAATAACAATTAAATAAATAACTTCACACCAATCTACACAAAAATAAAGAGGAAAATAACAATTAAAAAAAAAAGACAAACTATATTTCAGTTCCATAAAACTAGTAGAGTACATGGTACTGTACCACAGTACAAAAGTATATTTAAAATTAATAACTTTGCACTAGGTAGTAAATTAACTATCACAGCATTGTTCACCACCTCCCTTTCATTCTCTACTCTTATATCTAACTTAGTGATGTTGAAAGTACAGTACCAATACTCCTAATAGAATCGAATTCAATATTTGGTGCATTTACAGAAACCCACACAAAAGACCACATGGATAGTGAAATCTGGATTCCGAATTATAATATATATAGATGTGACAGAGTAATTAGGTCAAGTGGAGGAGTAGGTCTGTACATTAAAGAGGAGCTGGCATGCACAGAGCTCCTGAACTTGTCCAATGAGGTGGTAGAGGTACTTGGAATCACTGTAGAAAATATTAATCTACTAATTATTTTAATATACAAACCGCCAGATGCAACAGTTGAGGAATTCACTGAACAGATCCACAAAATAGAGAATATCCTTGATAACCTAGCAAACCCAGTACCAGATATTATATGCCTTGGAGACTTCAATCTACCCAGTTTAAAATGGAGAATAGTAAACAATAACATTATAGCAGGAAACCAACCTGGAAATAACCAACCACAGGTCAGAGAACTACCGAAATTCTGTGGCAAATTCTCGCTCAGTCAGCAGATTGTATAACCAACTAGGAATGAAAACACGCTGGACCTGATATTCACGAACAATTATGAGCTAGAGACATTACTGTCTCAGACACTACATGCTCGAACCATAAGCTCATTGAAGTGCAAACTAACATTAATAACAGTAGTAGGCCCAAGAAAAACAACAAGCAAGAAGGGTTATTCAATAAATTCAATTTTAATAATAAAAGGATAGACTGGGAGAAAATAAACAGGGAACTTACAAACATTCAATGGGAAAATGTTCCAAGAAATAAAAATCCTACACAAGGAATAGAAAAACTGACTTCTGAAGCATATGAAGTCTGTCTGAAACATGTTCCTTTGAGGAAAGCCAGAAAGAGGTCCAACGTAGAAAGAGAACACAGACGACATTACAAAAGAAGGAAGAAATTTACGGAAATGCTTAAGCAGACACGACTCTCCATACAAAGAAGAAATAATTTAAACAGGGAGATGGAAGAAATCGAACAGAGAATGAAGCATTCCTATCAGACTGAAGAAAGACAACTAGAACAGAAAACAATTCAAGAAATAAAGAAAAACCCAAAATATTTCTTCACATATGCTAAATCAAAAGCAAAAACCACTGCCAGTATTGGACCTATTCGTATTAGTGAAGGTTCATACACTGAGGATGACACAGAAATTAGTGAAATCCTAAAAAAGCAGTAGGAGGACATGTTTAGCACTCCGATACACAGCATGAAAGTGGAAGATTCGAACAACTTTTTTATGAGTGATATCCAAACACCTGTAAATATAACTGATATCAACACGAGCGTGACAGATTTTGAAAGAGAAATTGACAATATGCCCATGCACTCAGCCCCAGGTCCAGACTCATGGAATTCAATATTTATAAAGAAATGCAAAGTGCCAGTAGCACAGGCCCTCAGTATAGTGTGGAGGAAGAGCTTGGACACGGGAGAGATACCAGATGTGCAGAAAGCAGCAGACATAGCCCCTCTAATACAAGGGAGGTAGCAAAGCATTGGCAAAGAATTACAGACCAATTGCACTAACGTCTCACATAATAAAAGTATTTGAGAGAGTGATCAGGAGTCAGGTCACTAGATTTATGGAAACCAATGACCTCCACAATCCAAGCCAACATGGATTTAGAGCAGGAAGATCATGCCTCTCACAGCTACTTGACCATTATGACAAAATCACTGAGGCATTAGAAGAAAAACAGAATGCAGATGTTGTATACACAGACTTTGCAAAGGTATTCGACAAATGTGACCATGGAGTGATTGCACACAAAATGAGGTCAATGGGTATAACTGGTGAAGTAGGATGCTGGATACTCAATTTCCTGTCGAACAGAACACAAAGAGTAACAGCCAATTAAGTAAAATCGAGTCCGAGGGCAGTTAAAAGTTCTGTACCTCAAGGTACAGTCCTTGCACCACTGCTGTTCCTTATTCTCATATCAGATATAGACAAAAATACAAGTCACAGCTTTGTGTCATCCTTTGCAGATGATACAAAAATCAGCATGAAAATTACCTCTGCTGAAGACATTGAAAAACTACAGACAAACATTAACAAAGTTTCGATTGGGCAGCAGAAAATAACATGATGTTTAACGGTGATAAATTCTAGGTACTCAGATACGGCAAAAATGAGGATCTGAAACATAATACAGGGTACAAAACACAATCGAATCTGCCCATAGTAGGAAAACAGCATGTCAAGGATTTGGGAATAATGATGTCCGACGACTTAACGTTTAGGGAGCATAACCAAGCTAGTATTGCGTCAGCCAGAAAAAATGAAGGATGGATTACGAGAACCTCCTAGTCCAGAGATCCCATCACAATGGTTGTACTCTTCAAATCACTTGTGTTGTCCCGTCTTGAGTACTGCTCAGTACTCACTTTCCCCTTCAGAGCAGGAGAGATTGCTGAAATAGTGGGAATACAGAGAACATATATGGCACGCATAGACGACATAAAGCACCTAAATTATTGGGATCGTCTAAAAGCTCTCCAAATGTACTCATTATAAAGGAGGCGAGAGAGATACCAAATAATATACACATGGAAAATACTGGAGGGACAGGTCCCAAATCTTCACAGTAAAATAACAACGTACTGGAGTAAACGAGATGGAAGAAAATGCAGAATAGAACCAGTGAAGAGCAGAGGTGCCATAGGCACAAACAGAACACTGTATAAACATCAGAGGTCTGTGGTTGTTCAACGTCCTACCAGCGAGCATCAGAAATATTGCTGGAACAACCGTGGACATCTTCAAGAGAAAACTAGATTTTCTCTAAGGAGAAAATTAAAAAGAATTCTCTGTTTTCTCTAAGGAGTGCTGGACCAACTGGGCTGTGGCGGGTATGTGGGCCTGTGGGCCGCTCCAAGCAACAGCCTGGTGGACCAAACTCTCACAAGTCAAGCCTGGCCTCGGGCCGGGCTTGGGGAGTAGAAGAACTCCCAGATCCCCATCAAGCAGATATCAAGCAGATATCAAGCAGATACCAGAATGTACAACAATAAGCATAATTTACACCCAAATACTCATTCACTTGCCTCAAACCTCATTTGTCTGTTAATTTAATTTACTATTTTTGCAACTTGGAATTCTCCATATAATTTCCCTATCTCTCCACTTCCACTGAGCAAGGTTACAAAAGATATTATCTGTATGTGCACAGAAAAATTGTATTCAAAACCGGAGTTTTGTCTTCATAAGAACATAAGAACATAAGAACAAAGGTAACTGCAGAAGGCCTATTGGCCCATACGAGGCAGCTCCTATTCTATAACCACCCAATCCCACTCATATACTTGTCCAACCCGTGCTTGAAACAATCGAGGGACCCCACCTCCACAATGTTACGCGGCAATTGGTTCCACAAATCAACAACCCTGTTACTGAACCAGTATTTACCCAAGTCTTTCCTAAATCTAAACTTATCCAATTTATATCCATTGTTTCGTGTTCTGTCCTGTGTTGATACTTTTAATACCCTATTAATATCCCCCCGGTTATGTCCATTCATCCACTTGTAAACCTCTATCATGTCACCCCTAACTCTTCGCCTTTCCAGTGAATGCAACTTAAGCTTTGTTAATCTTTCTTCATATGAAAGATTTCTAATTTGGGGAATTAACTTAGTCATCCTACGCTGGACACGTTCAAGTGAATTTATATCCATTCTATAATATGGCGACCAAAACTGAACTGCATAATCTAAATGGGGCCTAACTAGAGCAAGATATAGCTTGAGAACCACACCAGGTGTCTTGTTACTAACGCTGCGATTAATAAATCCAAGTGTCCGATTTGCCTTATTACGAACATTTATGCATTGATCCTTTTGTTTTAAATTCTTACTAATCATAACTCCCAGATCCCTTTCGCAATCCGACTTCGCAATCACAACACCATCTAGCTCGTATCTTGTAACTCTATCATCATTACCTAACCTCAGAACTTTACATTTATCAGCATTAAACTGCATCTGCCAATCCTTTGACCATTTCAAAACCCTATCTAGATCAACTTGAAGTGATAGTGAGTCCTCCTCCGAATTAATTTCCCTACCGATTTTCGTATCATCGGCAAATTTGCAAATGTTGCTACTCAAACCTGAATCTAAATCATTTATATATATTATAAACAACAGAGGTCCCAGGACAGAGCCTTGAGGCACTCCACTTACAACATTTTCCCAATCTGACTTGATTCCATTTATACTAACTCTCTGTTTCCTTTGGTATAGCCATGCCCTAATCCAGCTTAATATAGCACCCCCAATACCATGAGACTCTATTTTTTTAATCAGTCTTTCATGTGGCACTGTATCAAAAGCTTTGCTAAAGTCAAGGTATACAACATCGCAATCCTTACCACTATCAACTGCCTCAACAATGCTAGAATAAAAAGATAACAAATTTGTTAAACATGAACGGCCATTTATAAAACCATGTTGCGACTCAATTATTAATTTATGTTTTTCAAGATGAAGACGAATTTTATTTGCTATTATAGATTCGAGTAACTTTCCCACAATAGACGTTAGGCTAATTGGTCGATAGTTAGACGCAAGTGATCTATCTCCTTTCTTAAAAACTGGTATCACATTAGCAACTTTCCAAAACTCTGGCACTCTGCCTGACTCTATTGATTTATTAAATATGGTTGACAGTGGGTCACAAAGCTCCTCTTTGCATTCTTTAAGCACCCTAGCAAACACTTCA